GGACCCACCGGTGGGTCCGTAGGGTTCTAGGGGTTAAGCAAACGACATCCCATTAAAAAAACCTCTGTGAGGCTGTAGAAGGAAAAAATACCTTCACTGTTATTCAATGATGCAAAAACTGATCTTAAAGGTTTCTTGAAAAGACAATATTTGTCCTTTAACAGGTAAATAATATCTGTGGATAAATTCTTTTTTTTTTTTCTCAAAATAAGATCATTATATATTAGGTACTTTTTCTTATCCTAAATTATCTTTTTCCTTTGGCAATTAGTCTTTTACGACGGAGTATTAGGGCCAGGCTAGAGATTTGTTTTCTGTTTCGAGAATAAAGTCGTAGCATTACGAAAATAAAGTTGTATTTTATGACAATTCTAACAAGAAGCACTTTCTTCCCTAAAAAGAGCAATGTGGAGCATCATGTGAAGTTATGCTTCGGCTCTGGTTTGACCAATAAGGAAATCTTTTAGCACCAGCATCAAACTGGGCAGGATGTCAAAGTGGACTCAGGTTGCTGATTGATGCAGCTGGTCGGCCATAATCAGCTGGTCGGAGCTCCAAGCTTTCTTTCTGAAACTAGTTGTTGAATGATGACTTCATTCTCATAATATTAAGACTTTATTCTTGTAAGACTACGACTTTATTCTGATAGTATTACAACTTTATTCTCGAAATAAAAAAATCTCTAGCCTGGCCCCAACACTCCGTCGTAGTCTTTTCTATCTCAAAACAAGGGAAAATACAGATATTTTAAAGAAAACATTTTAATCTACTGCAATTTTTGCACTGCATTAAAATGGTTACACAAGATGTCAATCCTGAGTTTGTAATTTCAAAGGGAGTTGGTTTTAATTTAATCTCATTTCTTATTTTTTGCTATATTTATTAATTATTACATACTAAGAGAATTTTCTTTTCTTTTCAAGCAACTCGGCTGGAAAGTCAAAGAAAAGAAAGTCGCTGGTCATCTCTAACCCCATCCCCTGCAACACAGCTTTCCCAGCTGATCACGTCTCCATTCATCCCTCGACCCAGAATGGCAAAGAGGCCGCTGCCTCTAGAGTCGCCCAACAGTCTCCGAGCATTTCTGAAGAGAGCGCTGCAGCGGAGGAGAGCAGCATCCCATCTAAAAGCGTCAGCTCGTCAGACTCTGATCTCAGCCTCAGCAGCGTAAACACACCCAAGAGGCAGTCTGTGTGCGACAACGAGAACAGCGACGGCTCCAGAGACCAACATGAGCCGTTACCTGCGAAGGAGCAGGACGACGCGGAAACGTCGGACAATCCGGAAACGTCAGAGGCTGCAGACGACTCGAGTTCCCAGAATCCACCTGGCTTCCTTTGTGAGGTGCTTATCACTGCTTTCCAGTGGCAGTATTCTATACAAGTCAAATAATAATAATTGTCAGTCTTTCAGCTTTTTACCAAAAATCTTTAGGAACCTGAATTCTTGGTTCTTTCATACTGAGTTTGGTTTAGGAATGAATACCAGTTTTAGCGTTAGAAGGTTTTAAATAGAAAATCTTTCAGACTTGAACATAATCAGAAAAGGATTAAATAAAACTGCACTTCTTTTTAAACCCAGGAGGTGGCAGCAGAGAGCAATGAAGAGGCTGATGGAGGCCAGCTACAGTCTGAACAGGGAGGCGACGTCCCAGTGCCTGCTGACACCCAAGAGGTTCACTTTTTACACTTTTCTTTATTTATTTTACTTGCAACCAAGTGAGAAAATTCTGTGTTTTGACCTTTAAGGCCAGGATCTCGCTGTGCTCTCTTTTTGTTTTATTTATTTTTTAAGGACTAAAATGGGATTTAGAATTTTATTGAGGCTATTAAACAGTTAAAAATGACTGGTAGTCAATGCAAAGTCTTTATTAAGGATTTAAAATGAGAATGGGTGGGTTTGTGTATCTTGCCTTACATCACGCTGCTGGTCACACAGGAGATGACGCCCTTCCTGTAAACTGTTGACCCAGCAAAATATTTCAGGCCAACATGTCATGGAGACTTTTTTTTCTTCTTCTGTCTAAATCATGCTTGCTTGTTATCATAAAATTAAAAATATATATATATTCTATATTCAGTTTCTATTTTAAAAATATTCTGTTTGACATCATTGGAGAGAAAGCGGCTGGATTATTTCCAAGTTACAGGGCCTGGGAAATATTTAAAAATTTTTTTTTATTATTTTCCTTCCACTCTACTTTTATATGCTAAAGATATGAAAGGTTCAGAATATAAGGAGTGAATTTTGTTCAAACATTGTTACAAGCAAAATTTATATTTTCCTAAATAGTATGGGTTGTCCAAATGTTAATCTTTGCAAAGCTTTATAATTGTTATTATTTTTTTCTTATTCTTGCAAAAAATGTTTACAGATTTAAAGTTTTGAATCTTTTTTAGATTTCTGTTTTACAGATTTAGTTTTGCAAATTTGTATCTTTTTAAAGGCCTTTTACAGATTACATTCTCTTCACTTAAAGTCGTAGGGAAAAAATATTTAAATGTCAAATCATTCTGGTTTAAACATGTATATAAATGGACTCTTTCGATATTGTCCTAAAATTTAGAAAATCTCTGTTTTAGGAAAAAATCCTGTCTTAAAATCTGTGTTTTTTTCCCGTTGTCTTATGCAGGCCAGTTAGTTATACGTCAGCTTGAACACCTAAATTCGGCCAATCATATATCAACGGTCATCTGTCAATCAAATTTATTTGGTCATAGCATCTTGGTTCATATGTCACAGCTAATATACATCATAGTTGAAATGGGAAACATTTCCTTTCCCATTGAGTTCCGTCCCAGTGTTCACGGTGAT